CCCCCCCGCTCCATCATTGCCACGGGGGGTGAGGCCAGTGCTGCTGCCCACCCCCACCCCGTTCTGACAGCTCCGTTACCGCTGCATCCGTCCCCACCATCATGGTGGTGTGTTGCTACCTGTCCAAATGCTTCTTCGCACTCTGATTGGCTGTTTGTCAGTACAAATAAAGCGTTATGGACAGACAGATTTAGGTTTTTATAACATTAGAATTACGTGATTGGAATAACAGATACTTGGTGGGAGCTCGCATGACTGGAGCACTGTCATGGACGGGTACAAACTGTTCAGGAAGGACAGGGAGGGGAGAAGAGGAGGAGTTGCACTTTAGGTAAAATAGCTGTATGATTGCTCAGAGCTCCAGTATGAAACTGGAGACAGGCCTGTTGAGAGTCTCTGGGTTAGGGTCAGAGGGGAGAGCAACAAGAGGGATGTCATGGTGGAGGTCTGCTGTAGACCATCAGACCCAGGAGGGAAGTGGTGGATGAGCCTTTCTTCAAACAGGTAGCAGAAGTTTCCCAATCGCAGGCCCTGGTCCTCATGGGGTTCGCCAGTCATTCTGACATCTGCTGGGAGGGCAGTACAGCAGTGCACAGGCAATCCAGCAAGTTTCTGTAGAGTGTTAGGGACCAGTTCCTGGTACAAATGCTGGAGCCTGCTGCTCACAAACAGAAGAATTGGTGGGGAATGTTGTAGTAGTGGATGGCAACTAGGGCAGCAGTAACGACGAGATGATTAAATTCAGGATCCTGAGGAAAGGAAGGATGGGCAGCAGCAGGTAAGGGCTCTCAACTTCAGAAAAGCAGACTTTGACTTGCTTAGGAAATCATGGGCAGGATCCCCTGGGAAGCCAAACTAAGGGAGAGAGGAGTCCAGGAGAGCTAGCTGTACTTTAAAGAAGCCTTACTGAGAGTGCAGGAACAAACCATCCCAATGTGCAGGAAGACTAGCAAGTATGGCAGAAGACCAGCTTGGCTTATCAGGGAACTCTTCAGTCAACTAAATCACAAAAAAGAAGCTTATAAGAAGTGGAGACGTGGACAAACAACCAGGGAGGAGTATAAGAGCATTGCTCAGGCATTCAGGGATGAAGTCAGGAAGGCCAAAGTGCACTTGGAGTTGCAGCTAGCAAGGGATGTGAAGGGTAACAAGAAAGGTTTCTACAAGTATATTGGTAGCAAGAGGAAGATCAGGGAACATGTGGGGAAGGCAGCCTTGTGACAGAGGATGCAGAAAAGGCTGAAATGCTCAATGCTTTTTTTGCCTCAGTCTTCACAGGTAAGGTCAGCTCCCAAACTACTGCACCGGGTAGTACAGTTAGGGGAGGAGGTAAGCAGTCCTCAGTGGTGAAAGGACAGGTTAGAGACTGCTTAGAAAAGCTGGACATGTACAAGTCTATGAGGCTGGATGGGATGCACCCGAGGGTGCTGAGGGAGTTGGCTGATGTGATTGCAGAGCCACTGGCCATCTATCTTGGAATGGTGGTAGAATCTCCATCCTTGCAGGTTTTCAAGACCCACTTAGACAAAGCTTTGGCTGGGATGATCTAGTTGAGGAAGGTCCTGCTTTGAGCAGGGGGTTGAACTAGATGACCTTCTGAGGTCCCCTCCAACCCTAATTGTTTTATGATTCTAACTCAAGGGCCATACCTGAGTTATGAAGCAGGTTGCAGTAGTCCTGTTCTGCATTATAAAGATGTGATGCAGGAACTCTGCATTATAAAGATGTGATGCAGGAACTGAACTGCAAAGTACTACTGTATTTGTCAGGACCTGTCTCTGTGGGCTGTAACTTCCTATTAAAGATGAGTAGCAGCTTGTGAGCTCATTTGTCCTTTTGGTCCTAATCAAAAAAACAGTTATGCAAAATTCAGTTTCTATCTCATCCATGTTGTGTCTTGTCAGCCAGGTCCTTCTGGATTTCCTGTAAATTTTGTAAATGCTGATGACTTTGCATTATGTGTTCTCCATCATTTTATTACAAAATGACTAATACTGATTTTGGGGTTGTACCACGTATATGTATTAGTGTATTCAGTCTTTTTTTCTCTCTTCCTTTTCTCTGACCTGGTACCAAGCTACCCCGGCAAATTACTCCATGGTATAAGTAAGCACAACTCTTGTAGCTTAACAATTACCCCTTCTTCTAGCAAGGTTCAGTTTAGCTAAAGCCCTTGGCTGGTCTTCTGAATAACATCAGTTTATTCATTAATAAAAGAGATCTTTGTCCATCTTGCAGGGTATTGTGGGCCTTAATGTCTGCAAAGCAATTTGAGAGTCTTCAACAAACTCTGTTATTTTATTGCTGAAAAGCTGAGGAATTTAAAGGTGAAAAATATTACTGCTGTATTATTGCTGAGATTAGGACATTCAAAATTGTGCCTTTCATGACTATTGTAGCCATGCCCTGGAATATTAAATTGAACCTGACGATACAGAATACTACTTGTACAAGGGAGTTAATTTCCACAGAACCTATAAGCTATCCATTTAAATATTCTAGACTTTGAGTATGTAAGCTCTCAACCATCTCATCGCAGTAACTTAAAGAATGGAGTGAATGTCCTATTGATGACAGTGACTGCACCAAGCACCTTGAGCATTGAAGTCCATTAACCACAAAGCAAGTACAACAGAGGCAATAGTCATGAATTTCTATCACCTCCATCCTGCCTCAGTCCACCTTAGCATCTGCTGGACCATCTCTAGCTATGTGTTTAAGAGGGGAGTTTTTTCTTTCTTATCCTAAAGCAAAATGATGAAGCCACTAAGAATAACAGATTCTTGCCATTGAGTTCCTTGTGTATCCATTCCCCTATGCCAGCGGTCTCCCCACTTTTCTTCAACTTACAGATTTTACTGTATATGATGGTGAATGCTCTTTAACTCTTCCATAGCCAGCTTAGTGTCTGACTCTGTTTCTTAACTTGATCTCTAGAGCTCCAAGCCACGTCTGGACTGCTTGGTTGAAGTGTACAGAAGTTGTCAAGAAATCCTGGAGCAGAGGAAAACCGTTTCACAGACACTTTAAAAAAAAAGCTAATCAAAGCAGAAATGTTGCAAGCTGGGATATATTTGTGTATAGCTAGAAACAACTGACTGCACTTTTAATCAGGTCTCATGAGCCTATGGAGTAGCAGCAGAGTGAAGCTAGTGTTGTCATTCTTGCTAAAAGGCCATGTAGACCTTTATGGAAAATTGATCAGCCAGGCACAATACCTACCCCTTTGTCAAGATGATGATGTGGGAGTTAATTAAGCTCTTTACCAGGCTCTCACTAACTCTATTCAACCAAGTGAATAGAGATGGAACTGCACAAAGGGTTACTTCTGCCTGGAGAGGAATTATAGGGATGAAAGTGGATGAGGAAGATGAAGTATCAGATTTACATTTCAGTGGATCATAACTTTTGATAAACACAGTAAAGCCTTGTCCAGATGACCAGATCCCAAACAGAAATAAGTCTCAGCCTGAAATCCTTTTAACATTTACTTGGATTGGGGGTGGGGGGAACTAGCCTAAAATAGCCAAAGCTGAATAGATGTGAAGGGAGGGGGCAGGGCTGGGGGGAGCCCAGGAACTCAGAGTTGAAGACAACCAAGAGAAAGGAAGCATACCCAGGAAAAATAAGTCTGCTGTGGCATTCAGTTCCTGTTTCATGAATACCACCCTCTTAATTGTTAGGACCCCTTAGAGATATCTGGGGCCCCATGTACACGCAGGAAAATCTGTTGCTGATATTGCTGCCTGACAAGGCTGAATGACTGTAAATAAAGTTGGTTTTTGATTTGTGTTGAGGCCTGTCCTTATATAAAATTGCGTGTTGATATCCTAAAGAAGGCAGCCCATGAGCTCCATGTCTCTTGTGAAGGGTTAAGTTGTGGCCCCTGGGCTTCTGCCAAGCTGCTTCTCTTCCCTTGCTTAGACTGAAACTACATCAGGAGTCTCTGGGCCCTTCTGTCCTTCCACCAGCTTCAGCTTCCTGTTCCTAGCCCAGGGGCCAGGGCAGTTTGGTGCAGCACATCTTGGAGATGTGAGGGTGATCCTGGGGTGGTATTGATGGGTGGTGTAGCTGCTGGAGAGGCCTCCACACAGGCACATTGTGCCACAGTCAGAAGTGTGCATCCATATAACATGCAGCGCAGGGTGTACCTGGCTTAACCTGGTGGTGCAGCCCAGAGGCATATGGCCCCTGTTGGTCCAAGCTATGGGGTTTGTGGCCCTCAGTGCCATAGAAGTTGGGCAGCCCTGTTCTAAAGGTTACTCTAACTTTTAAGAAATATGATTTTTCCTGGACCCAGATCACAGAGTTCCTTGCAGAGTATAAGGTATGAGGTACAAATCTGCTGCTGACTTCTAAATGGCCTTTGTCAAATCACTTAACCTTAATTACTGAAGTAACTCATGGAATTGTGCAGACATTGGGTTAAATCCTGTTATGGTGGAAACTGGTGGAATTCCACTACAGTCAAGGGAGTAGCATCCATTGCAAAGTGTACTAACCCTTTAAGTGGAGGTATTGAGAGCCTGTGTATAACTGGGGGCTTAGCCTTTAAAAAGCACAGAGCCCAGGGACATGTCTACACAGGGATTGTTGGGGTCCTGTGACTGTCAGAACTTTAAAAAGCAACTAGTGACTTGGGACTAAGGGCTGGCCTCTCCCTGGTGGCAGGCCTGGAAAAACTAAGAGAGCTGGTAAAACAGACCTATGAAAAAACTTGGCTAGACCCAGGATTGCGGAAGTTGCCAGAGAAGAGGTAGGCTGGGCAGGACAATGTGGAGAAGTGTTAAGGAGAGTATGCACTCTTGCACCTAGGGCAGGGGTGGGCTCATAGTGGACTCCATTTTCTGCAGGTTGGATCTGGCTCATGGCAGTTTTCATTTCTCAGCAGCCTCTGAACAGCAGCTTCGTTCAGCTGCTGCCTCTGGATCCAGCCCCACTGCCTGTTCACATCCACCCACCGCTGGAGGTAGGACTCATGTAGGCAGGGTGGGCAGCTGGGTGGCTGGGATGGGGCCACAGCCAAGAGCAAGACAGGTGGGGCCAGGGAGACCCTGGCATCTTGGGGGTGGTGACAGCGCAGGGCCAGGGCAGATCCACAGTCTGCCCACACACCCCTGCGACAAGGTTCCATGGGCAGGGGTGTGTAGGGAGCAGCTTGTGGCTCTGCCCCAGCCCTGGCCTCCTGCTTGCACCACTGCAAGATCCTAGCCCTGGCCCTAAAGCAGCTCCCCACCTAGTAGTGTGTCTTGCTTGTGCAGCTCCCAGTTGGTTTCAATGGAGACTCCAGGAGTGTGGGGCCATGGCAGCACAGGGCTGGACTGGGTCATGGTAGAGTCCCAGTTATGCGGCCCTATGCTATCACAGCCCCGTGCTTCCAAGATCTCCATGGAGGCTGGCCAGGAACTGCACAGGTGGTGGCTGCCGGGAAATGAAGGCTGGCTACCGGCTGGATCCACCATTTTGCCTATCCACCAGTACCTCAAGGATGTGCATACTGCTGGGGCCACTGAAGATGAGAAGACATTTCCTGTTCTGTAGCTGTGCACTGGCAAGCCAGGTGGCCCAGGATGCTGTCATAGGATGAATGGTGAAGATATTTACATGATTCTGAGGATCTCTATCAGCAAGGAGAGGTAGGGTTCAGGGAGAGTAATGTTACTGGAGGAGGACTGGATTTATTTATGTTTTTATTTATTTACTTTGTTAAACTCTGAAAGAAATGAACTTCTTGTGACTGAAGTGAAGGTTTCAGTCAGATCTTCTACGATGTGGAGTAGGGCTGTTCACCTTCTACATGGCTGGGTGCTTTATGCCACCAAGTCCACGCCAGTGAAGCCTAGGGTTGTGTTGTGCTGCACCCCCTGCAGCACTGTGTTGTGTTGCTGCTACCCTCACAGCACCATGCCACATGGGCACTCCAGGCCAGGGGTTCCCACAATACCCTGGGTTGTACAATAAAGCTAACCCCTTGCTAGTTGCATGTGGGCTGCCACTTGGACAGCCCAGCTTGGAGGATCACCAGAAAGAGAAAGTGGTTGTGATGGGGGAATCTCTCAGGGCTGGGCCGCAGTACTGTCCCGCCCACCTGTCTCTAGGCTAACCACCCACCTTCCTCTCCTGCCATGCCTTGATGGTAATAATTAGGATGTCAGTCAGGCACGAGGCTGCCCATTTACTTGCCCTGATGACAAGGGCGTTCCACACTACTCTGACCTCTCCTTATTGTGTCCTATGCCTTGCAGATGGGAACTTAAGTTGATGATAGCTCCAGCCCATGGCCAGGCCAAACTCTGCCCCTTGTAGGGCCTCTAACATCCAACATACATACTCTGCCCTTCTCCGGGCCTCTTTAATACCACTCACAGGGCCTCTCAGATGCTGTCCCCTTCCCGGCCACTCTCAATCTGTCTTACCCCAGATAGCACTTCAGGTCCCCCTTGTGCCGTACCTTACGCAGGGCTTTGGGCTTGCCTACTTACTCTCCAGCAGGGGTATACATAGCACTTGAGGCCATCTTCTCACAGACCCTACTCTACGTGACCCATAGCCTTACGCCTTACTCCAGGCTGGATTCAGCCACTGGCCCCTCTCATGCACAGCGCTTCAGGCTGCCAGCATGAACCCTACTCCATGTAGGCCTCCACATGCTTCTGCCCCCTCACCGGGGCAATCAGGGGTCTTTCATCTTATAGGATCAGGTGCCTCTCTCTAGTTGTGCCTGGCCCCATACCTGTCCCTAGCTCAGGGTAACCCACCAGGCTGTAGGGGCTGGGGATTTGAGGCACACCTACCTGCCTTTCACCAGGGAGGTAACAGGCTTGGCATTTCTGGGGGACTGTCCCACCACAGACAGCCCCACCAGACAGCCCTTCCCCAGCAGTTTTCAGTCATACCCAGGAGCCTTCTGCCATCCCCATAGCTCCTGCCCTGACCTCCAAAATGTTCCAAGCTCAGCCAGGCATTGCTCTTTCAGCTCCTAGCAGCAGACTACTGCTCCAACTCTGAGGGCCTGGGTTAAAATGAAGGCTGCTCTGCCCCCTCCTCCAATCTCAGAGCCCTCCCATGGTCATGTGACCCTGATTCAGGCTGGCCCACACCTGCAGGCTGCCCTGCTGCCTGCTTTCAAACCTTAAAGTGGCAGGCACCAAGGTACTCTGCCACAGTGGGTCAGGCTGCTATGGGCCCAGATATGGAAGTTGGCACAGGTAAGGCCATCTTTTTACACATCACCTTATGTGGAGGCTGCTTTAGCACTTAAAGGGTTAAGTGACAGTCTGTTTCATGGCATGGTAATCAGCATTCCTGTTAAGGAGTTTAATGTGACCACAACTTAATTAGCTGACAACTGCATTTTATTAAAAACAACAATAAAATCTCACATTATGTCATAGGCAGCCTTCTACATACACACAGCAGTTAAGAAAACAAAGGTTTCTGTTGTTCGGTATCTCATTCTACACTTAACAAAATGTCCAGTCATAACCAAGAGTGCTGATCAAAATAAAAATTAAATTCTCTACTAAGAAATCATATAAAATAGATAAGGTATCTACACGGTTTTCTGCATTCAGGCAAGCTATAAAAAGGAGGAGGTATATGCTGGCAGTTATCAAAGTGGGGGTGTTCCCTGAAAAGGCTCAAGTATTGGTAAATATTAATAAGATCTAATGAGAAAAGGTCATGCTAGTGAGTTTAAAGTGCAATTATGGTCAGAAAAATGACTATGTAGAAATGCTCCTTCTTACTCAGCATTTTTGCTTCCTGTGTGTTGGCAATTGGGTCTCTAATGTCACTGTAAAGCAGGGTCAGGCAATTATTTTGGGCGGAGGGCCACTTACTGAGTTTTTGCAAGCCATCAAGGGCCGCATGACAGGCAGCCAGGGGCAGATAAATATTAATTTTCTAAATTTTTTAGGGGCTCCATGGGCTGGATAGAATGGCCTGGCAGGCCGCATCTGGCCCACGAGCTGCATTTTGCCCACCCCTGCTGTAAAGTGAGTCAGCTTCAGGAGAATCGGGTGAACTATTTTTACCTTGTGTATTCTCAACACAGCTAATAGCTCAGTTTTGAATTGAAGTGTTGATATCACTGGTGATTCAAGAACTAGGAGGTCATCTGGGTTCTCAGATCCCAGTGATGGTTCAAAGTGCAGGAAGGTGTCAGGGAAGTGTTCTTTTTGAATATTGGTATTTTTGTAAGGGTGCCGTGAAGAGAATAAATCCTGAAGACAATTGCGTCAAGCTGTTCAGTCATTTCTTTGACAGGATCTGCAACTTTTAAAAAAAAGGAAAGACAACTAAAAATCCATTCATAATTATTCTTTGGCTCAGAAAACCTACAGCCCTTCTTAGCAGTACAAGAAGGCACTCTAAAATACAAGAAATAGATACGTTACAGTATATGCAAATCAGGTCTTCAGGAGTTATTGGCTCCAACCTGCTACTTGTGTCACATGGTTTTACCAGCTCATTAGTCTCTTTTTACATTTTAGAGCCCTAAAAGGATCATGTCAAGGGATTGCTGGGAATTATACAAAATAACTACCTCAGCTCTGTGTTCAAAATTAATTTAGCCTAATAGTTCCCTGAAAGCTTGAAACTAAATCCTGTTTCCAAAATGTCTTTTCTATTCTGTGCATTTGTTTGTTGTTTTTGCGAGGTTGCTGATGGACACTGGATGAAACATGTTTGTGCTGTAAGTTGATTCATTTTTTATAATTTGTCTGCAAAAACTGAGCTGTTATTGAAGAACTTTATAGCAGCTGCATGTACACTGACTTATTTTGGTAGAGTTACCTATGAAAGCTTGGAAGTACTCCTAGGTGGAGAGTGCTTAAGTTTCCTTAGCTTCTCAGAATGCTAATGAGAACAATGAAACCTAGTCAAGTAGCTGTATGTGCTTTGGGAGGAAAATGATGTGCAACTCATTTTAAAAAGTTCACATTTTGAGCTTCCCAGTCTTGACAGAGTCCCCTTGGGGCTGATCTAACAGCACTTGTTAGGAGCTTGTATAAAACAGTACTTGCAGATATATTTGTTGACCACTTCCTCCTTGCTTGGATGACATGGAAGAAGTAGGAGGTCAGCAGAAACTACTCCTACAAAATCAATGCAGTGTAGCTCTTTCTAAATGTTACACTAGTTGCTGGAAGACATGAAAAGTACAAAACTCATTTGTCTTGCCTTCCTGATCCACAGAGATCACATACAGTAGTGAACACATCTTGAAATACATACAAAATAGTGGTTAACATCAAGGTTCTTTGAAAGCATGTATGTGGCAGGGGATAGTCCATTATAAATGCAACCCTCTGGTACAGACCTAGTTTTGTTGTATAGAAAAGTACAAAACTCCATAGTAAATCAATCCTGCAGAAGCTAGGATATTGTCTGACAGATCTCCAGTCCTGTTCATCTTTTGAGTCTTCAAAATGCAAAAAAGCTTCCACATTTCTCTTATACTTTTCTTATAGTTGAAACTGTTCTGTCCTTGGATTGAATTCTTCTTCTTTTCCTTCCTTTATTGTATATAATAAGCTCTTCAGCGATAAGCACAGAATTTATCTGCTTGTCAGTTTAGCATCTCTTCCATTGGGATAACTTGTTGTTATCCAAGCTAACTTCATGTCTGTCATAAACCAGGGATCAGTACAGGCGAGAGGCCTGCATCTGGTTTTGAGTTTGGATGCCAGTCTTACTGAGGGGTGAGCCCTGTTTTGGGATTAGCTTATGGTCTTGGTTATGCTGTGTTGCCACATACACACAAAAGTAGTGGTGGTCTTACAGAAATAGCAGTTATTTTAATTGCTGTTTGAACATAAGAATTGCTATTTACTGGGTCAGACCATAGGTTCATCTTGCCCAGTATCCTGTGTCACGTAGTGGCACAGGGTGGATACTGAAGGGGAGAGTGAACTGGGTATGACCACGGTGTTTTTCCACTGGGGTTGCGGTTGGCAGAGATGAGTAGGCACTATCACATATTCTCTGGAATGTGGAGGACATCCACCACTAGAGTATAGGACTGATACGCTTAAACAGCACGATAGGGTTGTTATCGTGACCTTCATTCATATTATTCTTTACCCTCTGGTAATTGCCCTGTTTTGACGCATGAAGTTTCTGAACCAGTGATATGAAACTTGTAGTATTGGCGGTATTCAGTATGATGCATCTGTTCACACAACTTATATCACAATTCCCATTATTGTTTGTTGAAATAGTGCAGAGTGAGAACAGAGTCCTCTGGAAATACACGCGAGTCAGAATACCCGCTGAAGGAGCTTAGAAACAACTTCAGATAAAAGGCAAAGTGGTGAAACAAGAGGCAGAGAGGGTTCATAAGGGGACTAATGATAAAGGATTACTGAAGAGGAATATGGAAAGAGGTAGCTAGCAATGTTAGTCAGAAGTCAGGCAGAAGGCAGGATAGATTGGCATCTTATAGACTAATTCAGAGAGGCATAAGCTTTTCCAAGCAAGCAGCTTACTGTTGCTTACAAAAGCTTATGCCTCTCTAAATTATTCTGAAGGGGCATTTTTATACATGCATCCATTGCAGTGCTTAAAGTGCCCAGTGGTGCAACGCATACCGTTGTATAAGTGGTGAAATGCACGTCAGAGCTGAGAAAATGGCAGCAGCACGCTTTTGAACTAACACACCTCAGAGGTGCTTTAGTTCAAAAGCACACCGCCACCATTTTCTGCATGCTGACGTGCATTTTGCCACTTATACAACTGCATGTGGCACAGCACAGTTCGCCTAAGCTCACGTGCGGGGCAGACTTGATTAATTGACTCTGTTCTGAAGCGGTGGATCTCCGGTGCATCTTGGGGAAAAGAAAGTATGTGTATAAAAGCCCATTGTGCCACTCTATTCTGCCTTCTAAAGAGGAATATGTTAAGGAAGAGAGATCACTAGGCATCTAAGAAGTTGTAGGCAACTTCTTGGCATGGGAAAACCTGGGAGAAGGTGCAAGGTTAAGAATGGGAGGAGACAAAGAGCAGTTTGAACATGATGTGGGAGGAGTGTAAAAGTTGGTGAAGAGGTAATGTGATTGGAAGATGGCTTTAGCTACATAGTTTTGGATGGAGAGGAAGTGTATGGAATCCCAAAATCTAGTTCTTTAGAAAAGACTCAATATTACCTCTAGACATGCTAAGTAACTTCATCCCATGTTAATGAGAGAACTGGAGACTGCATTAAAACAGGGCAGGAAACCACCAAAATTGCAGCAGTCCTTGGTTCAGTATGGGGCATTGTGCAAAATGGTAAAAAGGATTAAAACCCAAAGGCACTGAGAACAAGCACTCAGAGCAGTGTAGGCCCTTTGGTGGTACGAGGCATGGAAGGAAAGACAGACTGGCTTTCAGTCTCCCATAGCTTTTTAGGTCGTGGTGTGCTCAGGGAGGGGGGTGCAGGAGACGGGAGCGAAGATGATGCACAGTGGTTAATGTAGCTGGCAATTAGAAGAGTCACCTCAACGATCTGTGGGAGAAAAACAAGGATTAACTGCAGATCAATTAGAGGGCAAGTACATTTTGGTTTCTAATACCTGTCTGCAGAAGAATTGCTGAGAAGGCCATGCTCAAAACTGAGTTGAGCTCCTTAGAGATAAATTTAGGGATAAATCCAGGGTTGGATCAGATGAGCCAGTCACTTAGAGACCTGTGCTTTCAAAGGGTTTGAAGGCTAAAAGTACTCGATGGATAGTGCAGCAAGGAAAGATACCACTCTCCAGGAAGTGGGCCAAATGCTCAGCTATTCTTAACCCTCAGGTTTTTCCTAGCAAGTGGAAGGGACCCATTCGACCATTCATTTTATACCCACCTTCGGAACTGCCATGGTGAAAAGTAGCTTTTCAATGCTGTTTTTTCCAGAACTGCTGTCCTTCACCTGACTGACTACAATCATGAAGTCATCTCGACAGCCTCCAAAGGTGAACACAGAAGTGTATGAGTAAGAGAGCTTTAAGTGCTGCAGACAACGGAGGGTAGAAGAGTCTCAGTTTTGTAAAAGAAAAAAAATCCCCTCCCTTAGCTGGAGTACTGTGTTTTTCAGCCTGCACAACATCAGATCCCCAGCGGACCATTATAAGCAGCTTTGCAGCTCTGAATAGGCCATGCAAATGTTATATGTTGTTCATAATGACTCCTTTTTGTGAGGGCTGGCTTTAGGATAAACAAATTCCTGTCTAAATTTGCTTTCCATATTAAGTTGTTTCTAGCATTTTCCCAGCAGGTCCAATGCTTACTCAACCATGGGGAGGCAGCCCTAGCTCATTTATAGCCCAGTGCAAGTTAACAGAGGCACCTGCCACCATGACTTGGTCATATAATTACTCTATCTTTATGCAGTGTTCAAGTAAAGGGAAAACTTGTTTATCTCTAACTTCACTGTATGAACTCCTGGCCCCTTTGGAAGTCAGTGGGAAACTTTAGATGGGTTCATCCTAGCATTTTGGTCTATAGGGATGTGCTTCTGTGGGGAAGGTTGCTATTTTTCTCAACCAGTGCTCCTCACCGTACCATAGTGTGATAATCTAGTAGGCTGATGCCATCTTCATTCACAGCTATCCACACTGGAAAGTCTTCCAAGGGAGAGGGCAAAATAGGCTGAAGAAATTAGAAAAAGATAATTAAGAAATACTATAGCATCACAAAGCCAAGAGACTTCCATCTTATTTCTTGAGTCATAAGGACGAGTTTGGGAGAAAAGGGCCCATACATTAGCCTGCCTGACCAAATCTGTTAGGTATCTGTTTCATCTTGTATATCTTGCACCTCTTATACCACTGATCCTAACTATCATGAAATAATTAGGAACTCATGAAAATAATTCATCTCCGAGTTTCAAAATATTGTCTTTTAAAATCTAACCTAAGTTGACATATGTAAAACTGAATGTAATGATGTGTTGAGGTACCAGATCAGCTGCCCTATTCTGTTTGTGGGCTCTTCTTGTTCCATCATCAAGGGACCTGTCTTTGCGTATTATTGGACAGAGAGAGAATAGACAGTGTCAACGCAGCTTTCCCTCATGCTATTCTTTGCTACTGTACTTCAGCCAGCTCCATAAGGGAAAGAATGCAGTAGCTCAGACTTAAAAGCTGATATTGCCAAATAATGAAAGGCAGAAGGCAGGGCAGGGTGGAACCTTATGCCTTTCTAAGCAAGTTAGCCTTTAAGGTTCCACCCATGCCCTGCCTTCTGCCTAACTTGGCTACCTACCTCTCTCTCTAAGAAAGCCGAGCGCTAGGAAATTGTACCAGGTAACCAGTACCTTTTACGTAAACCAATGGTTCTCAACCTTTTTTAGATTTGAGGTACTCCTGAGTAGATTCAAGGCACCCCTTGTTTTTTGGCAATGGAAAAATAGTAGATCAGTTTTGCTGTTGCAAAGACCTCAGAAAGACCACAACTAAGGATTTCTATTTGGAATTTCTGGGTTTTTCTTAGGTTTACAAATATGATTCATAACAGTACTAACATTGTGTAGCCCCCTGGACATCCTTGAAAGAATCTGTAGATACTCCAGGGTGTCGTGGCACCCCAGCTGAAAATCACTGACATAGACTACTAGAAGCCATAGATACTACCAAACAGGGCTGCATCTTAACCATCAAAACAGTGGAGCAAAACTCCCTAGCCAATTAGCAGCCCTCTGCCAACCAGTGCCCTGAAGTACCTCATATATTTGCTATGCAAAAGTGTTGGTTGAGGTGGCATCTATATACCACTGTTCACGCAGAACCCCTTCAGATGTTCATGTCCTTGACATGGACAACGGATCCCCAAAGACTCAAATGTTCGGAGAAGAAAACTGCACCCAACATAAAGAAACACTGAGAGTTGCCAATGACCTGCCATAAACTGTGCTAATGTGTGAAGCTTTTTATCCTACTGGAATGAAATGTTTTTATGAAGGACAATTCCAGAATATTTGGTAAATACAGGAGACACTGTTGTGGGCTATTGTTATGACTAATGCCAATTATTTCTCAATCTGTGCTTTTTGTTATTACAGATAATGCCATGGTTCTTGCAGTTTACATATTAGATTAAAAAACCCAACAACCCAGACTGTTGGAAATACCAGCATTGTTAAACTTTGGGTTGAAGAACTATAGAATATTTTGATTTTCAGTTCTATTTCTGGAGAATGCCATCAACTACTGCATATACTGGTGACAGCCACCGAGTTTAATGGAAATCACCACACTCTCTGTACTTGCTGAAAACTTCCAGTTTAGCTGTTTAAGAGATCAGTTTCCCCCTTAACTCTATTCTAGAAACTCAACAAATTTGATTTCAAAGCAAGAGACAAAACATCAGAACCAGTGATTGTAACTGAGTCTGGGCAAGAGCCTCTTCTCCATCTTCAGTAGCCTAAGCTCCTGCTGATATAGAAATCAAACAGATAGGAAGGTGTAGGGTAAAAAAAAATCTTTCTTGTGTCTGATTGTTCAGGGCTGGCTTTGATTTGCATCAAAACAGGTATTTAACAACAGTCATTTACACACTCAGCTTGAACAGCAATTAACATGATTTAGCCCCACGTTATCTCTGCTAAAATCCTAGAATAAAATGCTTTGTCCCCAAAGAAATCCAAGGTCTGTTTTTAGTCTAGGCTAGAGCTATAACTTAGTCATCCACTTCTGCTTTCAGTGTATGATTACCAAAGTGAGGTTTGCTAGCTTAGCACAGTGTGCTAAGACTTCAAATTTCATGACATGTAAAAAGAACAGGTTAAATAAAAATTTGGGGAGGTTTAAGAGGTTAACATAAATTACTGGAAGCCAAGGCTCCTGGCATCCATTCCTTGCTCTGCCACTGAGTTGGCAAGTGATATAACCAAGATGTGTTTTAATTTCTGTCTGTACAATAAGGCAATAGTTTTACACACTTTCTTTGACTGAGAAAGAGAGGTACAGGCATTGTTTCCCTGTGCTATCTGCATAGCTGAGAGCAGGACTGAAACTTCTGTTATTCTTTTATATGGGTTACCAGCTTCAGGGGAGGATGTATAGAAGTTTTAACCCCCTTTTCCCTCACTGGTGCAAGACTTTTTTATACAAATCATGGTTGTCTTGATTTGCCCGCTATGAAAGCATCAACATTTATTTGTGGTATACCAGCAACCCCTAGTGTCTGGAGCGGACTTCGCTTTTCCATTCTTTCTAAAGTGAAACTGAATGCAAGAAGTCACCTGTAGTTACCTTAGCAGCAAATATCTTAGCTCCAAAGAGAGGCCATTTCCGAGCCACTGTCAAATAAATTCGAATGCATTCTGGTGGAGAGCACCCCTGCAGCACCATCCATTTCGTAGCCAGTCTGTCAGCTAGCCGCCTGTTGGAATCCACAGTGCATTACAACTTTACTCTTTCCCCTTGGAGGACATGAGATAAAATTTCTGTTATACTTATAAAATATCTTTCCCCCTGAAGGACTGTCATATAACGTACTATAGACAGAGCCCATAGCAGTGCCTGTTGTTAAGGTTGCCTGACAGACCCTTGGTCTTAATTGCTGCTAACTTTGTTAAACTTGAACAGCTTGAGATTAATTTTTCTGTGGTGAGTATTTGTCCTGGAAGACTATTTTTGCATGTTTAAATTTAAATTAAAAAATTAAAGGTTGTATCATAAGCATATGCGCAAGGGGAAAAATTAAGTTTGCATAGGCTTTTTTAATTTTGGCGTTTCCTAATTTTTTAGTTCTTGACTTTGCAATTTTAAAAAAATTGTAAGTGTTTGACCTAGGCTGTTTTTTTTCATGGGAAAAAATAATGCCCTAGTTCTCCCATGATTACTGTTATGTGTACCTTAAACATCTTCATTGCAAGATGCTGTCTGTGGGATTACAACTTAAATCATGTGAGGAAGTGCAGCAGCTCATGGACTGCTCTGTAGGCAACACATCTTCCTATGGAAGCCCAAGGAAGGCCCATGGAATTGTGATCAGTAGAAACATCTAATCTTTTAGTTCAGTTTTATACGTGTGTGACACTTCCTGACTCAAAGAGCCAATAGCACACTGAAGGACAGAATGTGGGTCAGCTCTTTGACTTCTAAATTTGCTTCTGTGTGGTCTGAAGAAGCCCAGGTTTGCTGTGCTTTATAGGGTTTGCTACAAAGCCCCTTTGCGTAGCTAGGCACTTAGAGAGAAGTGAGGTTTGGAGCATTTCATATAGGGGTGTGGACTCTAATTTGGGGCAGACAGGGTTTGCTGTTGAATAATTTGGGATTTTTTTTAGGTGCTGGTTCTTTACATGGAGAAAGTTACCCATAGTTAACTAATCCTATTTTAATCTAGGTTGGCTCATCTCTTTTAAAGGGCACATGTTGCCTGAGATCTATGTTCTTTTTATGTTTCTTCATTTAAATAATATAGCATTTGCTTGTTTAAAATATCTATCTTGACAGTATCCCTTTTAAATTTTCTAATTACAAAAAGAGGTGCATTCTGTAAATAGCAAGTACCAGGATCTCTCCCTCTTTCACCTTTCCCTCCCCTCCCCTCCCCTCCCCCTGCACAGAGTTGCATGTAAGAGAACATGACCAGGGTTAACGTCTTACCTAAGCTGCTCAGGAACAACATTTTGTTTGTAGCGTTTGGGATAGAACTTGTCCAAAACCTGTTGGAGCAGGTGTTGCATTTTGGACTGAAAGGTACCTCCAGAACTTGAAGGTATTGGTCGATCCAAATCCCCATATTCCACCTGAAATAGAATGTGAAGGGGCTCTGGAAATGGCACCAAAATATCTCTCATGCACAGTGAGTGACTACTGGGGACTGCTTTGCAGAGATGAAACAGGATTTGGGCCAACCACTGAGACTGCAGGAAAATTCCTTTGTATCATTGCCTAGACTTTTATTCCACCTGCAGCTGGCCAGTAAGCTTATTTGCAGCTGGTATAAGCAAGATTCCCTGGTCTGCTAGTGTCACTTTGTAACAGATACAGTGCAAATTAGCTTGAAAATGACCAAAGGAAGATTTGGAAATTCCTCTTTCATAGAAGGAACTCTTTCCTGCTAGGGTCTGTGCAACTTTCTATGCCAGCTGCCCTGTGTCTTCAGGATGAACTGAGTGGGTACATGGATAATGGCCAAGGAAATGGGCATAAATTTGATGGCGAGAGGATTCTCTACTGTTCTAAGATCCCTCTGGGATCTTATACTGATAGCACAAGTTCAGGCTGTTCCTTTGAAGTGCAGTTTACTGAAGGGCTGAGGTTAAGAGAGCCTTTTGTTAACCTACTCTTCAGTGCACCCAAATTCTGCTCAAACCAAATGGAAAATCTGCCTCCCTGGATCAAAAGAACATTTTTTTTTGCAGGACATACTTATCTGACTGACTCAGGGAGCAGACCTAGCATTTATGTTTGGTCATTCTTATTTAGCAAGAAATAACTGTTCTGTGGACTATACCAACACCCATTACACAGTGTGATTAAATCTGTATCAGTAACATGGTTCTTGAAAGTATAGTGGACTAGTACAGAAACCTGCAAGATGCTTTTCCTGAGTGAGGCTCTTGGCTGTTGGCCATGTAAAAGAACATGCTGTGACTATTGGGCTAAAATCTGTAAAGTGATTGTTTTAATAATTTTCATCAGACTTGCTGATCAGAAATGCTTCTGGCACACTTACAGACTGGCTATATTTTTTATGGCTCTTGATACAACAGAGTTCTCTTGGGAATGACGGGGTATTTGTATGCAATCAAAACTGTACAGAAGTGTACTACTTATTGTGAATAGTTCACTCTGTTGATTTCTGGTTGGCATGATGTAGCTCATACAGTATGCGAGTGGTTTGGTAAGAAGTACCATTATTCCCTGTTACATCAGTCAGGACTGCTTAACTGAGTAATTTGTATCGATGATGTGCATAAACAAACAAAACAACAGGAAGGATTTCCACTTATAATACAGCATACTAGAAAGGAGCAAGTCATTGGCCTGTAGGAAAGAGATGTGGATTTTCTTCCCTCCTTCTGCCAGATGTGCTTTCTATAACAGCCTCTGAAACAGAATATCACCACAGAAGCCTCATCCCTCTTTAGAAATGTAGCCTTCATTGTTGTGCTCACCATACACAAGAAAAGCACTGCCCTGCCAACAGTGTACCATCCCACTGCTAAAAACAGTGCTCAGCTCCAGCAAATGCTTGGCTGGTTGCTCACCTGAGCCATCAAAGCCACCATTTCTAGAGCCAATTCCTTATTGACAGGAAACCTTCCATTGGCTATTTCACTGCTGACCTCGAAGGCCAGCAGCAACCGCTCTCGATCTGTCTCACCTTTTGCCTGGCTTCGAAAATACAATCTGAAGAAGAGAGAAATAAAAGGGAGAAAAAGTGCCAAGTAGTAGCTGAGAAGAGAATTGAAAACTTAAATCAAAAGATTTATTTATTCTTGAAAAGTGAATTTTGTGCAATAGAAGAGTTGACTCGGGAGCACTGGTGCTGAAGCCCTCTCCTCATGATAATGGGGAGGAGGGGCAGAATTGGAAACTGTTTCCTTTAAGTCTCAGGAGGGAATTGTTCTAGAAGCCATTCCAGTTCCCATGACAAACCTGGGTATCAAAAGGTGTCTAGTTAATATTGAGCAATGCTTTTATAAACCTGGGGAAATCAGTACCCTTCCATCAGACAGAGGTTGACAGTGTTTATTAGATGGTCCATAACATTTACACCGTGATTTTGATCCTTCAGTTCTGGGCAGGCTCCCATTTTGCCAGCAGGTGGAACTCTTGAGGAACAAGAAGGGGGAAGTATTACATCTAATTTTCATCTACAGACAGCTCTTCACTAACATTTTACTCATTTGAGACTGTCCTTCAAACTTGCTTCCTTTGTTTATAAAGCCCACCACACACACAGCCCAGTTCTCCTTATAAATCTTTGTCTCTTACTTCCTTATTTTCTGTCCTCATGTAGCCCTAGCATCACTCACTTCCTCCATTTATCTTGCCCAAATGGCTCCTTTTCTTTGTTAAGTCTCAGAATTGTTTTCCCCATGCATGTGCTTCTTTAAGTCTCTCCTGTTCCTATCTAATATATATTGTTTAATTCTGTTTTATGGTTGGGTCTCTATTAGTGGAACAATACAAAATGCTGCTCTGTTATATTGTATCTAGTAATTTGTCTGATTCTAAGTCTGTTTTAGCTTTTACAAAATGTGTTGGGTTTTATTCATGTTCCATCCATCCCCTTGAACACACACAAATTACTTTTCATTCCTTTAAGAATGGAATGTTTCCAGATTCACGAGTTCTGACAATAACAGTGTATAAAAAGTTGCAGCCCCTCTGACATATATCAGGCTGATATATGCACTCGATAGATATTTAATCAGCAATAACAACCACCTCATCAGATGATGAATGGTACCTGGTTTTATAAGTCAGTTTCACTATTCTTGTGCCACCTTCATATTTCCCAGGATGCAGCTCTTTCAAAGCTTGTTCCCATTTTGCAATGACATCACAGATCTTTAAAGCAATTACAGAGACAAGTTAAAAAGAAATGTAAACTTAAGGAAAAAGTAATTTGGATAACAAACTATTGTGGGGTTAGCATGAGGGAAGGACAGATTGGATCAGACTATGGGCAGTCCTCGACTTACAACGTTGCGAGTTACAACGTTTTGCACTTAAAATGTTTATAAATTGACACCCTGTTTCAACTTTATGATGGCAGTTTTGACTTTACCACACTTGATCTGATGCGATGCCACGCCAGCAAACAAGTTCGCTGCGTCGCTCATCTCCCTGGAGAACATCTGTCCAAACTTCCTTGGACACTTTCTTTAAGAAAGTGGACAAGACTCCAGAAAAACCTGCAGCCAAGACTCCTGAGAAGACTCCAGCCAAGAGCCCTTCAAAAAGTCCAACCAAGAGCCTTTCAAAAAGTCCAGCAAAGTCACCTCAAATAAGTCCTTCCAAACCAATATGATTGCTATTTACCATATAAACAAAATTCTGGGGTATTTTTAGTGAATACAGGGTATTGGGCCTTGGTTCAGGAACCAATCCCCCACTTATTACATTGTTTCTTATGAGAAAATTTGTTCCGAGTTACAATGCTTCGACTTAAGGTGCGGTTTTCAGGAACCAATTGTGTTATAAGTCCAAGGACTGCCTGTATACTTAGCCAGAAAGTGACAGATGATTCCATCACATTTTTCCTGGTACATAATTAGAAATGGTCCTAAATGAAGACTCCAGATCCAAGTCTCTGGGGAGGTTGAATGTGAATCCCAAACTAGTGCAAACTCTATGAAACTCATCCTGGTGGGTATCTATGCCAAGATAAACCAAAACAAAACCTAGTTCAGAACTGGATCCTGACTTTGCATGTCAGATCTCTCTCTAATCATAGCACAGTACTACAGTTCTGGTTAGCTTCTTTCAACCTGTCTGAAAATGGAATAGTAAAAATCTCCATTACCTCCGTTCACATGGTAAATAAAGGGCAAGTGAATAGTATTAGAGGTCACTTGAGAGAACTGAACAACCAGCCCAACCTCTTGCTTAAGCTATAGAGGAGAGGTCTCCTTGCCTAATTTAACCAGCCAGGGTAATGCTTTTGTTTGCTTAGGACTCAGCTAGCTCTTTGAATATCCTGTCTCCCCATACAACACAAGCAAAGCTCAGGATCACCTAGTCTGTATCCAACTATGACAGAGAACTAGCTGGTTGGAGTTCATTGTGGTACCTTCCTCTGCAAAACATATAAGAAGGAGTTATTGTCATTTTTTTCTATGCTCTACAGTGCTTTTAACTCCTCATGCCCTCTATCACCACACATTCCTTGCAGCTGGAACTACAGTCCCTTTCAAAGCTGCTTTTCCAGTTCTGCTCCAGAAATGTATATGTGGCACAGGTTGTGCCTTGCATGTAAATTCATCCTCTAAGCCAACAAGGAGGAGGGGCTCTCTAGAGTCAGCACCAAAATATAGTTTCTACAAGTCACAGCCATCAGCAGGAGAGGTTGGTTTTACGTGGAAATACCAAGGGTATTTAACAATCCAATATGTGATTTTAATTACATGCACCTTGCACTCCACAGCCTGGCAGGACCTTGTCTTGATGAGAATTTCAAGGTGTGATGCAAAATCAAGTTAGCTAGCTTGATCTAAGAAGCATCTTTTAAAGCTGTAGTCAAGAAAAAGCCTATATGAAAATAGCTTGCCTTGTCTTCACTACAGCTTTAGGTGGTGCTTGTTAGATGACGCTAAATAACATGATCACCTTGAAACCTTTGTTTAGACAAGATTCAGGTGAATGTGATCTGGGCCACATCAAGAATATTCATTCTCCATTAGGAGGATTTGGAAAGAGCATGCTGGAATTACTGGAGAAGGAATCACCTTCATGTTGCCCTGGAGGCAGTGCTCCAAGTCTCTGCCAGATGGGTCATCTGTGAAAAGGGAAAAACCAGTGTGGGAGGGTTTCCTCATTCCAGTCTCCTGGTTCAGTCGCTGGATGAACTCATCTACTGTTGAGGAACCATCAAAACCAACAACCTAAAATGAAGCCAGAGATTAAAATAACTAAATGAATAGAGTTTGACCAAACAACTGTAAACAGAGAACATGGTAACAGTTAGAGGTGTGTGAAACAGACCATATTTGATTCAGATTTGGCCTGAGTTGGGGACAGTGATTCTATTAGTTGATTTGGATCACTGTCCCAATTTGATTCGGCTGAATTCGAATCTGAAGATTCGATGCTGATTTGGAGAATCAGCAATTTGGCCATAGACACAGCTGTAAATGTATTTTCTACATACCTCAAGGTACCAGGTACAGCTCGTGAACACTAAAATGGTGGGGCGGATGGAGCATCCCACCATCTCTGTGTTCACAAGCCTCCGGGTACCTTGAGGTATGCAGAAAAAACATTTAAAGCTGTGTCTATGTCCAAATCACCGAATCTCTGTGATTCTGATTTGGAGAGATTAAAGGGTCTCCTGAATTGATTCAGCCGCCAAATCGGGCCAAATCTCCGCTGAATTTAATCAGCGACTAAAGCTTTGCACAGCCCTAGTAACTATCCACAGAACCTGATTGGGCACAATCCCCCAGCTCCCCCACATAGAGCCCCCTATTCCAGAGGGAGTTGGGCAGACTCCAGTGCAGCTCTCAGTTGCCTGGAGATGCATCCCCAAGCCCAGCCTCTTACCTGGTAGGTTCCATTCATGAAGTGCACAGGAATACTGAAGGGCAGCGAGTGGTGGTAGGGGTTCCGCAGCAAAATGGACACAATCTCCATTCTGGAAGGCTTAGCTTCCCTCTCTCCGGTCTGTAATGTGCGCTCCAGCGATCTCTGACAGTAGATGGCATACTTACCTATTTCACTCCTACACTCAGAGTGAAAGAGGGACAACATAACTACATATTTTAGGTATGTATACTGTACCCATTACTGTCACTGCTTCCTAGTGTTCTGGTTTTCCCAGGGATCTTTCAAATGAAGATGTGCATATGTGGATGTGTCCTAATTCACCTCAGCAGGTCTGAAGCTCAGATTTAATTCAGATAAAATGCACTGAAGTTAGGACTGAGAAACTTGGGTTTGTAAAGTGAGGGTAAGCAATAGTTTTGTAGTATTTCTGCTTCTAACTAGGCTAGTAATACTGTAAGAAAGCCACTTCCCCCATGGCATTTTGGCATTTCTGGTTCTGACTGGAATCAGTAAGTACAGAGCCACTCAGAAAAAAAAGTCCTTTTCAAATCTCAGGCGACTTTTAGTCTGAGTTTTTGAAAAAAATTCTGGGCAGTGTGTTTGGATGTAAGCATAGGTGTGACATGAAATAGCTGTTTACTTACAGTTGTTCTTACAGTGCATACCCAGGTTCTGGTTTACTGCTATCTGGTTAATAAGGCATGATGAAAGTGTGTGGTGAGACACGAGGCTGAAGACCAAGTGCTTTTAACTACCTGTGAATCCCATCAATAACTAAGTAGTGCCCCCCTGGAATGGCGTATTGCAGCCAGAATATGGCTCACTGGGTATTCTGCTCTGCAACCTACTCCAAAGATAATAAAATATAGTATTGGAATCTGTTTAAGGGTTGTTAACTTTTTTCAAGGTTGCTGAAGTTATTTAGAGCCTTGTCTCCCTCTTCTTGTCCCCTCAGACTTCCTGCTAATCTTTCAGCAGAATTTATCATCTAGGAACCATTGCCAGTGTGTTTGCTTCTATGGACACTTTGACTTGGTCTCCACTTTATTTTTGTCACCATGAAAAAAATATCCACACCCCAACCAACACTTAGAGTAACCAGACTAGTGAAAGAAAAACCTGGCATGTTCCTTACCTGGGATCTGCATGCCTCTGCAGGTGTTGTTTGACATACCAGAGGAAGTGGTGCTGAGGCAGAAAGAGAGGAGCACACAAAGCCAGGAGTTGCCAGCACTGTGAAGAGAACCAGGTCATTTAGACAACACAGCTGCATAGGCATCGATCTGAAATGGCTTAGAAACATCAACTTCTGCATCTGGCCCCTTCCAACCCTTGAGGAACAACCATTTTTTGTCCAGTTCTTGCTCCCAGTTATATCTTGAGAAAACCACAGGTTGAAATTGTCAGAAGTGATTTGCGATTGTAGACACTTCCCTTTTGGGGCATCTAACTTGAGATGTTTTAAAGGACCCTGATTTTCTTTCTGAAAATCAGCTCCCTTTATGGCTTCTCAAGGTAGGCACCCCAGATGAAGAGTTTCTTTGGAAAGTCTTGGCCAGTGCAACTAGACAAATAATTCACAACTAATAGTTTAGTCAGTGAATTTTGTTTTATTGATTGTCTGCCAAAAGTTCATAACATTCTCAAATGTACTCAGTGATTCAAAGCATTTACGCATTTCTCTAGCTAGAAATCTTTACACTGTGAATTGTTTGAACTGGTCATATCACAGTCAAGGATCTAATTGCCACTTCATGCTGTAAATGAAATGATGCACCTAACTTAACTAATAAGCATAGCACAAACATTGAATTTCTTGCTTGATTGTGATATTATTATTAGAAACGGGGAACAAAAAAGAGTTCTCAGAGTGGGAGCGGCAGAAAGGAATTCACCTGAATGACGGAGTGGTTCTGGGGGTGCCGGCAGCTCGTCTGCTTAACCAGCTGACAATAGATTTCATTCTGCAGCTCAGTGTGTGTCAGGCAGACTTGCAGAGCAGTCTGGGCAAGTGACACGTGGTAATCAATAGATGGTGCCTCCACGGGAACGTTGATGAACAGCTGACAGGACTACATGAAAAGGGAATTGGCATTTACAGGAATAACAAGACACTTCTTTTCTCCAGCAGTTTCCAGCTGAGGTTCTCAAAATGCTTTACAAGAGGTTAATTCATCCCTAACAGCTCTGTGAGGTAGAATAAGTACTGTATTTTTATGTGCCCCCCCTCCCTGCCCAATGACATGAGACTGAAGAATTCATTTGACCTCCCTGAGCTGCAGAGTCAAACAACAAGTCAGTAACAGAACCTAGTAAAAAACCCAGCTCTCCTGGCTTCCATATCTGTGATTTAACCTCTGTTAAATGAAGCTGCTTCTTCCGTACAGCTCCCCACCCTGCTCCCCTCCCCTGAAAAATATGCACAGACTACATGTCAGCAGCATGTTCTTTGCAGAAATACACAGTCATTAAATGTCACATAGGAAGTACAGTCATAAACACAATGCCTAAATCCTGCCTGCCTGCCTCTGCTGTAGCCATTAAACTATACTCTCTCTGCAGCTGTTGTGAATGATGCATAATTATGACACTAAACCTATAAGAATTCTGGTTCTATTATCATCAAATATAGCTTGGCCACATCAGCAATTCTGCCAGCAACTCCATAGTTTGACCTGCCTTAGGTCCTACACATTTATGGTATCATACTCAGAAAAAGTCCCCTTATAAAAGACAAAATATTATAGTTTCATAGTTTCTAGGGTCGGAAGGGACCTGAGCAGATCATCTAGTCTGACCCCCTGCCATGGCAGGAAAGAGTACTGGGGTCAAACGACCCCAGTAAGGTGGTCATCCAACCTCCTCTTAAAAACCCCCAGGGTGGGAGCCTGCACCACCTCACTTGGAAGCTGGTTCCAGAC